TGAGCGATGCTGTGGAGGCAGTTATATGTGGGCCTCGGCAACCGATGGGATGGGGGTGGTGTGTGGCAAGGGAAGAGTTAAAGATAACTCAGAGGTTTTGATCAGAACTACCAGGAGGTACCATTAAAGAAAGAGGGAAGTTAAGAGAAGTGGATTTAGGAAGGAAGATGATAAGCTCAACTTTTGACATCTTGATTTTAAGGTCTTGATGGATTAGACATCCAGATGTACATATCCAAAATGTAACTGGAAATGCCATTCTGGGCAGATATTAAAGCTATAGCCAAAGATTTGAGATTGAACTTCACACTGTGATAACTGGAGGCTGATGAAATTATTCAGACGAGCTGTGGAAAAGTATAAAGGGTTTAGGATAGAGTCTTGGGTGGATGGGCACATCCATATACACCTGAAGGGAACTTGAAGGGTGATTAGGGGACTGAAGGATGAGAATCCTGCTAAGGAAATGAGAAGGAACTGAGACTGATAGGAAGAAAAGTAAGAGAGCAGTTTTAGAAGTCAAGGGAGAAGAGGTTATCTGGAAGAAGGGGGTGGGGTTATGCTTCAATACTTTGAGATACTGTGATTTGACAGCAGGGTATGGGGGATGGATGAGATACTTCCATTAAGAAGGCAGGTTGCAATCCCTTCAATAAATCATAGTTCATAAATAATCAATAAATGTCCCGTAGTATCATAGAATTGGAGGTGCTAGGAAGTTTAGAGATCATCCATCCAATCTCTCCTTCATTTTCAGATAAGAAAACTAAGACATAGACAAATGAAATGATTTATAAGTCACCAGGTAGCAAATAGCAGACACAGGATTCAAACTCAAGTTTTCCCACTGAATGTAGTACTCTTTCCATGACAGAGAAGCTTAGTTGAGGCAGTTTCTGACCAATTATGATAACAACTTCCAGGAGATTTCTCTGGGAAATAAAAGAAGAGAAAAAGAAAAAAAGAAAAGGGATAATTTTTCCTCTTAGATACTAGTGCCAATTTTTTTGCTCTATTGTTTAACAAGGCCCAATGTATAACTCTACCAATAGTGTTTTTATTAGTTTGCCTGTCTTCTCCCAGTCCTGCCAGCACTGAGCATTTCTTTTGCAACCCATTTACTGCTGCTGTCTATTGCAATTTGTTGCCAGCATTATTATACTAATACAAATACCTATTTTACTGATAAGAAACCAGGCTCAGAGAGTTTGTGTCTCTGCCAGGATTTGATCCCTTCAAGTCTGCAAATCCAGCAGGATTTTTATTGTCCTTTCACATACATTCACTTGAGACCCCCATGCTGCTGTCCTCGTCCAGTACGAGCTAGGTCCAGAGCACTGTTAACGTCACCCATTCAATTTCTTGTTGCAGCTGCCACCAAGTTTCAACCCTGTTGCCCAGCAGTCGAAGAAGCTGAGGTCTGAATTTATACAGCCTGAAAAAATAACAGTGAACAGATCCCATTCCCAGCCTATTCTTAAAGGGTGTTAAGAAAGGAACCTGGTTTTTCTTGGACATTTGGCCTTTCTCATTTTGTCTCCAGCAAGGGAGCAGGGTGGGATGGAGTTTGTGTTAGGGTGTGTGTATGTGTGTGTATGTTGAGCACAGGTTTCACATTTGATGTGTGGATCCATTTAATCATTTCAAGTGTAAGTGGCGTGTGAATATGAGTAAGTGGGGGCTTTTGGAGCTTTTCATGAGTTATTATTATTATTGGTAACTCATGTTTGCCCTGTTTCTGGAGCTATAACAGTTATAAATCTCCATTCTCTCTGCACTGCAGTGTCCCTCGGAGCAGCTGCATAAATCCAGAGAGACAGGCTGTCAAGGCAGCAGACTTTACAGAGATCAATATTCCTCTTGGCAGGAGATGGGCACTAGCTGACCCGAGAGGACAGTCCTTTCGGTTTATCTGACCAGAGAGTCTTCCTTTTCTCTCAAGTCAACTAAAAAATGTGACTCGTTGGAGGAAGATTAAACATGAAGCCCAGACCCCAAGAGCAGCCATCCAGGTTCCCCTATAACCACCTTCCCTCTCAGGCCGTTATCCTGGCAAGTGTCTTGTGGGGTGAATGCCAACCAGCAGCTTTGGAGAGCCACTGGCTTCTCCCTAGCCCAGAGTTCTCTTGTTTGTTTGACTTTTCACTACTGCGCCCTGCTCCTACCTCCCTGGATCACTTAGGGAGAGGAGGTGAAAAAGGAGAAGCTCGCCGGCTGCGAGAGGGTTTTCCAAATGAAAAGGGGTGGGGAGGGGGAGGGAGACCGGCTTAGGGGAGGGGGCTCTTTCAGAGGGGGAAGACCTCGCATTGTAATCCAATGACATTTCTAACGTGGGGGTGAGGGGCACTCGCTACGGCTCTTGGAACCTTGGCTGCGGGCCCAGCTGGGAATAACTCTCTTCGCATAATTCGCGTGTTTACCAGGCATGAAAATTCTTGCTTTCGGCTTTTTTTTTTTGAGTCTCCCACCCTGCCCCCCTCCGCCGCCCCGTCAGCCCCTTTTGCAAGTGAAACTCTGTCTAAAAAAATATTGGCCCGGGGCGCAGAAAGTTTTGCATAAATTCATAAGTGATGAATGGCTGATTTTAATGTTATTTGGGTATTTGTCAGAATCTAACAAATATACATGGGGACGGCAGTTCATAAACTTAAACATCTCAATATCCCCTTTCTTCTGGAAATAAATTACGTTTGTTTGCTCGGCTTGGAGTCTTAAAAGGTAGCCGACATTAGGAATATTTTAAAAGCCATCATCCATCGAGCATGTCTCCCAGGCGCCACGAAGATTAAATGGAAGAATCATAAGATGGAGGTCTTTAACTTTTAATCCTTTTACAATGAAGCCTCAGATAGTCGCGGGGGCAGGGTGCCTTCTCTGGGGGGGAATAATGCCGTTATTCCTTGGCACTCAGTTAATGAATACCCTAAACTACGAGATAGACAGAGACACACACAGAGAGAGGCAGAGACATACACATACACACACACACACACACGCGCGCGCGCGCGCACACACACACACACACACATACACACACGCACACACACACACACAGAGACAGAGACAGACGGAGAAGGGGAGGGGGCTGGCTATTGAAACTAGGAGCCAAAGAGGCTGGGCCTGGGGTGGAGGGTGGGAAGAAATCCTCGGGCTGGGCTGGAGGGACTGGGCAGGGGTGGGAGAATGGGGGGGTTGACCCGGCACAGGGGAACCCAACGGAGGTTGGAGATAATTAGCGTGAATTCTCGGTGACTTGGGAGAGTCCTGGCGGGAGCCAAGGGAGGAGGCGTTGCAAGGAGGGAGTGGGGGCGGGGGGGGCGGGAGGTGGCAGGGGGTGGGGTGGCCATCCGAAGGGAGGGGAGCCAGGGAAAGGAGAGGAGCTCTGGAGTCCAAGATAAATAAAGGGAGTGTTGAGCCGCAGTGTCAGGTAGCTGGCCCACGTGGAGGGGTAGCGTTGGGTGTGCTTAGTATCGCCCGCCTGAGAAACGGAGAGAGACCTAGATGCCATGCTATGCTATGTTGCGGCCCGCCGAGCTGGCTTGGGGAGGAGCGCAACGCCAGACCGGCTGTGGGGGTGGGGAGAAGGGGGTGTCTTTCTTTTAGGGGATTTGAGGGGGCGGGGGGACAGTGGTGGGTGCCGATGGGAGAGAGAGAGAGGAAAGGGAGGGACAAGGGTAAGTTTTTTTCTCCGAGTTCTATGGATCCATTAATCAGAAGCATGGGATACAGAAAGAACACTCCCCAGGGCTAACAATTCTTCTCCCAAGTCCTAGGTGCAAATCGTGTTGGAAATAAACTCTTTCTCTCCCCTCCGGCGCCCCCACCCCCACCCCAAGGCAAGTATTGGTGCGAAATTGCTAAAAGGCGACTTTAGCGGCAGCTTTCCCTAGTCTTCACCCCGCCCCCTCACCCACGCCACTGAGACTGGAGCTGCAAAGTGCCTTGTTCCAGGGAAACAGCCTCCCCCGCCCTAGTCCAAAGCCCGCGGGATCTCTCCAGATATGTGACAAGACTGGAGGGGAGGTTACCTGGATCTTTAGGACTTACTCTCAAATATCTCTAGCCTGCGGCTAAAAGGCATATGTATGTGTGTGTATATATAAAAATATATACACACATATATACACACACATATATATACACACATATATATGCACACATACATACACACATATACACACGCATGCCTTGGGCTCTGGCCGTACAGAAAAGGTGTGTGTGTGTGTGTGTGTGTGTGTGTGTGTGTGTGCGTGCATGGCCTTGACACCCCTCTCCCAGTTTAAAACATATTACTTCTACTTGCACCTTGGCAGTGTTTCCTCCGTTGCTTTCTAGGCGCTCAAAGGGTTAACGGGGACTAGATCTTGGGGTGGGGTAGAGGAGAGGCGGGAGGGGTGTTGGGATCTGGGTGGGCGCTCATATCTCCCTCCTCCCCTCCTCCCCCTCCCATTCAGAGGGGGTCAAGTTTCAGCTGCACTCCGCCCCCAGGGTAGGTGTGAAAGACACGTGTCCCCATTGTGAACAGCCTGTCAGGCAGGACAAAGCGGCTGTCTCCCCCCCACTCCCCGCCCCCCGCCCCAGAGCCCAGCTTAGGGTCAGCTCCGGGAGGCCGGCTGGGTGTCGAGGTCAAGACGAGATGGAGTTTTAGTAACAGGGAGGGGAAAAAAAAAAGCTGGAGTTCGGAAGGAGCCATGTGATTCCAAAGAGAGGTAGTTTGAGATCACCGTGCCCCCCTCCTCACTTCACCGCACAGCCTCCCCCCTACCCCTGCCAGCGGCCACTGAGAAACTCATTAGGAGGTGATAACCTCTTCTTCACCCCCAATGGAGAGGAGTCCCGGGAGCTGGAGAGGCTCCTCTCCATTCAAGGAAAATCCACGTGAGGACCCCCCCGCCACTGCCCACCTCCCCCAACGCCCGCCCACCAGCCACTCCACCCCCCTCAGCCAAATAGAGGGTCAACAAATAGACTGGCAGTGCCCAGGCGCAGAATCGGTTTTAGTGGTTGACTTTAATTCTGCTCTGCACTTCTCTCTCTCTTTTACTACACGGGATGATATTATAAAGAATAAATAGCAGGTGCTCTTAATTTACAATGATTAGTCATTCCATTTGTTCTCTCTATTTACAATAACTGTAAAATAACATTGAACTCTATAGCTTCTGCGAGGTCCAAGGAAAACAAAAACAAAAACAAAACCAAAACCAAACAAAAACACTTTCCGAAGAATGGAAAATAGCTTCTTCTTTTCAAAAGTCCTTCTACACAAAAAAAAAAAAAGTTTTTTTCCCCCTTTCATCTTTGTACTTAAAAAAAATAACTTTTTCTGCTTCGCCAGGCGAAGTGCTCTGGATATAAATAGCAGGGTAACATTAGCAACAACCAGAATAACAGTCTCTCTCTCTGCTTTTTTTTTTCCTTTTGTCTTTTTTTAAAAATACAGTAGAAGCCGGTAACTTTGAACGTATAATACTGACCTTTTAATAAGTAAATTAAAACCGAGACCGTATATACACACACATACATTCCTACACAGTTAACAGTGCATTACATGAACCAGAAAGCTATGTCTCTGTAGCCCAAAAAAAAAAAAGTTCATTGAATCCGATTTGGAAGGGTGGAAGAATGGGGGTGGGGTGGGTGGCGAGGAGGTGGATTGAGAGTTGGGGTCTGGGCATGAGGGACCCCGAGTTCTAGCAAGAGCACTTGCATTCCGAAATGATGGGGTACTGGATGGGGATCCAGCCGCAACGCTGCCCCCCTCGCCTCTGGCACCGCCACCGCAGCACAGTGAGGTGCACCGACTTGGCCGGCTTGCAGACCATGCCCTCCGGCACGGAGCAAGAGCGCTTGCTGAAGCAGCTGCCCACTTTCACGTAGCGGGGCCAGAAGCGGCTGCCCAGGTCGTTCCACGCGTAGAGTACTGGGCAGAAGGTCTGCGACCAGAGCCACATCTGCAGCTTCCTGCGTAGCTTCTTGCTGAGCCGGTGTTTCTTGCCCGGGGGCAAGCCCTCAGAGAACTCCAGCCCTTTGATCTCGCTCGGCATGGCCCCGGACGGCCGCTGCCGCAGCAGCTGGTCCAACTCCGCCAGGTCCTCGCCGCCCCCGGCGGCCCCCCCACCCCCTCCTGGCCGGTCCTCTGGAGGCGCGGTGGCCATGAAGCCCGGGTCGTAGTGACCCCCCAGCAGGGAACGGAGCAGCGTCTCGTTTAGATCCTTCTCCTTGGGGTCAAAGATAGGGTCCGGATGCTCGATAAGGTCCACCAGGGGCAGGTTGTCGCTGGGGGCCGGGCGGATGTGGAGGTAGTGTTGGCAGCCCGCCGGCCCCGCCCGGAGCCCCAGTACCACCACCACGGCGTACAGGGTGACCCCCAGGCTGGGGCACCGCTCCATGCCTCCGGCGCGGGGCTGGGGCTGCAGCGATCTCTCTGGGTCCCCCGCCCCACCCTCCCCACCCCCCGAACGAAAATCACGCCAAGCCCCCTCAGGCGGTCTCGGGGAGCAGCTCACCAAAACCAAGGGGAGCGGAGGACCGACAGCATGGGAGAAAATCCTCGTCTCTCCGCCCTCCTTTCTCCCACCGAGGGTGGTGATAAGGGTGGGTGAACTTTCTTCTAACTCGTCCTCTTTTTTTTAGCTGGGGAAGGGGCGCATCCAAAGTGACTCCAAGGACAGCGGTCGTGGCTGGGGTATCCCTGGCTCGTCTCTCCTTTCTCCGGACTGGAGGAGGCGCGGGGCGCGGGGACTCGCCTGTCTCGGTCGGTAGAGGTGGCGTGGCTTTTCCCTCTCCTCCTTCGCTTGCTGCTCACAGTGCTGCCTTGCTTCTCGGCAGGGGCGCTTCAGGGTGGGTGGACTCCTGTGTAGGGGTCCCGGGGGCGCTCCCCCCAGCCTGGTGTTCGGGGCTCTGTAGGGCAGTCTCCAGCAGCAGCAGCGGCGGCGGCGGCAGTGGCGGGAGTAGCGGCAGCGGCAGCAAGGGCAGGAGCAGCAGCGGCGGCAGCAGCGGCGGCGGCAGCAGCAGCGATAACGGCGGTGGCAAAGGCAGCAGCTGGACCAGTAGCAGGAGCCGGAGCCGGAGCCGGAGCCGGAGCAGGAGCAGGAGCGAGAGCAGGAGCTAGAGCAGCAGCGGCGGCGGCGGCGGCGGCGGCGGCGGCTCCTCGCACGTTGGCACCGGTTTGTCTGTCTCGAAGGGTCCAAGCCTTTAAATTTCCTGCACTTTCAGCTCCATCACCATGGAAACCACTGACTCTCTCTCTCTCTCTCTCTCTCTCTCTCTCTCTCTCTCTCTCTCTCTCTCTCTCTCTCTCTCTCGTTTCCCCCTCCCCTTTCTTCTCCCCAAACAACCCCACCCCCCCACTTCTCCACCCCCGAGGAGCCGAATGAACTGGATGCAGGCTCCGGGCAGCGGCAGCTTAGGCTGCGCCGAGTTCTGCGACCCGCTGGAAGGAGATGCCCCGGGAAGTCAGTCGACAGTTCGGCTGCTCGCCTCAGCTCAGAGGCGGCGGCGGTGGCGGTGGCGGCGGCGGCGGCGGCGGTGGCGGTGGCGGCGGCGGCGGCGGTGGTGGCGCTTGGCAGGTCTCCGCGTAATTTTCTTTCTCCCCCACCCCCCTTCTCCTCCTCCTCCTCCTCCTGCAAAATGCACCGCCCCCCTCCTTTCTCCTAGGGCAATGCAACCGGGGCTCTAGGCGTCCCGCCAGGTCCAGTCCAAGGGGGGGCTCATTTCAGCGGCGGGGACCGGCCGAAGGGGTGCAGAGTTGGCAAGGAGGGGCGAGGGTGGGGAACTAGAGGGATAAGGATGATTCCTTTCTTACTGTGCGCTTTGCAAAGGGAGAGGCGCAGCGGGGGAGGCCTCCGAGGTTTGTCTCTCTGAGCAAAAAAAAAATGTGCATGGATGGAGTGAGTACTTGCACTGGGCCCTCTGTCACCCGTCTTGCCTTTCCCCCCCTTCCCCCACTAGATATATACACATCTGTGCACCCATGCAACACTGGAGGTCCACTGCGCCCAGCGTTTGTCTTGCCCGGCACGGGAGTGATGTAATTCCTAGGAAGTATTCCTGTCTGGTCCCCGGGCCAACGGGGGTTGGGGGGGGCGGTCGGCTCTGCACCCTCCTACTTTTCCTTGGCCCTGTAGACTCTGCGCCCTAAGTGGCGGAGCCACGGAGGTGCGTCTGACTCTGCCTAGCCTTTCCTCTCCTTAACGTTTGATTCTCGCCTGGCTGCTCCCCACCCTTGGGGCGGGGCGCCCTCTTCTGGCTTTTGAGTGACCTTGCAGTTGGCCGCGGCCAGAGAAAGAGCCCAAGGGGACCTTATGTTTTGGGGTTTTACTTTGATGGGGTGCCTGTCCTCGTATATTTATGTGTGCGCTCTCACGTGCACCTTTGTGTTTCAGGCCGTTAGCTTATAGGAGGTGAGGGTGCCTGCTAGTCTTATTCTTAACCTTCTGAATGCTAACCTCCTCTTTCATTTACAGGGAAGGCAACTGACCCGGGAGTGAGTGCAGTGTTGGTGTGAAAAACCTTTCAGCAAATTTACTTTTCCTTAGCTCATACTAATGGACTACAGAATGTAAGCTCTTTGAGAGCAGCAAAGGGTTTATTTCTCTCTTCATAAACTTAGCACTAAGTACAGTGCCCGGAGTTTAGCAGGGGCTTAATAAATGCTTGTTGGTTAAATGTTTGAGTGATCTTGCCGCCTCCCCCGATGACTAACTGAACGGTTTCTCACCTGGGGCAAAAACAGCTGGGAATGGTGGCATCAAGGTAGAGAATAGTCGAACTGGTCGCCCTTCCCCCATGTTGATGCCTTGAGGCAAAACCTCTTTTATCCCCTACTAGTTATGGCTCAGTCCCCCACCAACGAGCAAAAGAGCTAACCTCATAAAGTATTCCCTTGAGCTCCTGTTAGGCCTGTCTTGGAGGGGAGAGCAGTTGGATTCAAGCAACTTCAAATAATATTGTAGCTGGGTTTGGAGGGAGCTGGGTGGGAAGCACTCTCCCTTCCAGAAAGGATGGAAGGCCCACGGCCTACTGCTTTTGTTCTAGGCTGTGATTTTGGGGGTCAGGTCACATATTTTGGGGGAACAGAAGGTAGGTATATCAGGACCCCAGAGGGGGAGTAAACTGTTCAGTAGTATGCAATCACACAGAAAGGGTATTGGGAACTTCCCAAGGTGAAAATTCACTTTAGTGAAAAAAAAATTTTTGACCTCTCTTTACAAGGGGCTTTCCCTCTGCAGATACTCTCCAAAGAAGGTTTGTCTTCCATCTCCCCCTCTTGCTATCTAAGGAAGACAGTGTGTATATATGTGTCTGTGTCTGTGTGTGTTTATAATGTGTGTGTAGTCATATATCATGTCAAAACATATATCTCTTACTATTTGTCTAAGAAAGATATATGTATTATATATAATATATTATGTCAAATCATATAATATCATATCATGAATCTCAGCAGTCAGTACTGTCACATCCACCACTGTATACTATAACTTTACTAAATCAGGAGTGGCATAGAGTAGCTTAGAGTCAGGAACCTGGGTTTAGGTCCTATTCATTAGACAGGGGTATTTATGACATTGGGCAAATCACTTCACCTATTACTTCTAGAAACTGAGACCATAAATGCCAGCTGAGTTGTCCATTAGGAGGTAGTGGGGTGCAGTGAAAAGAGTGCTGCCTCTGGAATCAGAGAACCTGGATTCAAATCCTGCTTCAGTGTCTTGCTACCTGTGTGACCATAGATGCTTAATAAGGTATCTGACACATAGCAGGCACTTAATACAGGCCAGTTGACTGACAAATCACTTAACATTTTTCGACTTCAAGGTCTCTCTGTAAAATGAGGGGGTTAGACTAGAATGGTCTCTAAGGTCCTTCCAACTCTAAATCTGTGCTCTATGGTCTGAATTACTAAAAGGAATTTCCCCCACACTGATGAAATCATAGATTGGGACCAAAAACATTCAGGCATATTGGAAGAAGGCCAGGATGAATTATACATTTTAAAAAGTAAATGGGATTTTGATACTTTGAAGTATGATGGTTTCTAAAACGAGGCTAATGAAATGTGTAATTGAGGTCCATTTCCATGGATATCAACAATATAAGTTCAAATGGAAACTTCTAAACTGCGTGGGGATTGTTTTGCAAAGACCTCTGGCCTTAGAGTCAGTTTCTAGTTAGAACTCTGTCACTTGCTCGATGAATGACATTGGGCCAGCTTTACTCTATCTGGGGCCTCACTTACCTTTTCTGTGAAATGAGAGTATGGAACCTGGAGATCTCTCTGCTCCCCAATATTCTGGAAATCCCTAAGTATAAGCTTCCAGGAAATAGATGGTTTTCCTATATAATTTAAATATCCCATGGCAATCTTATTTGGGTCCTTACTTTGCTTATCGGGTCTTTCTTCCACAGATAAGATTGTTCAAAGATTCGGCCTAGCACCTTGTTCCTATGATTGCCAATTCTGAATCTGACTGGGCATTAAGGGGAAGGGTTGTGAGTTAGTAGTCAGTCAACAAGCATTTATTAAGCAACTACTATGTGTCAGGCACCATGCTAAGCACTAGAGATACAAATACAGTGAATGAAACAATTTCCACCCACAAGGAGCTTACATTCTAATTGGGAGGGGAGACAGTAAATACATATACATAGGTATGGAATTAGTATAAAGAAGCTATTGAATAAAACAGTTTACTCTTCTCCTATAGTCTTGATTTATCCAAGTCCTCATTCTCTGAAATACGATGCATGTCTGGCATTTATATAATGCTACAAAGTTCATGAAACTATTTCCATAAAATCACAGAATAGCAACATTTTAGAGTTGGAAGGGAATTTTGAGGCCAGTTAGCCCAAATCCTATGCAAAGGGAATCCCCACTGTAACATAAATTACAAATGGCCATATGCCAGCTAACTGGCAGAGTGGATGGAGCACTGGATTTGCAACCAGGGAAACCTGAATTCAAATCCCACCTCAAACACTTGCTTTACTGTGTGACCCTGGGTAAGTCAATTAACCTCTCTCAGCCTCAGTCTCCTCATCTGTAAAATGGCTATCACAATAACACCTACCTTCTAGTTCTATACATATGAAATGTCAGCCAATAATTTATTAATTGCTTACTATGTGCAAGGCACTATGCAAAGAGCTGGGGATACAAAAAAGGTAAAAGACAAGCTCTGTTCTCAAGGAACTTAGAGTCTAATGGAGTAGACGACACGCAGACAACTAAGTGCTTTGCAAAGTTTAAAGCAATATATAAATGCTAGCTAACAACAACAATAATAATTATCACAATAATAATAATGATTACAAAGACTTTCACAGAGGAGGCACTCAGCCTCTTGGAGAAGCTCATTCCACTTCCAGACAGCTCTAATTGTTACCAAGTTCTTTGTTTGTTTTACTAATGTCAAGCCTAACTTTGCCTCTTTGTAACCTGCATCCACTTCAGTATGATCCTTCTTTTACATGACAGTCCTTCAGATACATGAACTGAGCTATTGTGAACTCTTGGAGTTTTCTCTTCTCTGGGAAAAATATTCCCAGTTACTTTAGCTACCCTTTATGTGAAGCTCTCCACCCCACTCCCACCCCAATAGCCTGTTTTCCCTCTTTTGGTACCTAACGGTTATTGATGATCTCTTAAAATTTGTCCTACACTGAAATATCAAGGACACCACTATCTTTCCAATGATGTAGGTTTGCTACCTTTCAAAAGCAAGCAACCAAGTTATCCTTGACTGCTTGCTTTCCCACCACCCACGTAACAACAGCAACAATAAGAAATAATTTCTATAGCACCTACTATGTGCCAGGCACTGTGCTAGGTGCTTTACAAATATCCTCACATTTAATTCTCACAATAACCCTGGGAGGTAGGTGCTATTATTTTCTCCACTTTACAGTTGAGGACACTGAGGCAGAAAGAAGTTAAGTGACTTGATCAGTGTCACACAGC